AGTATTTAATTGGGGGAGGGATTTAAGCCCGAAAGATTTTTTTTTGTACAAATATATTAGGATAATGACTTCGGAAGAAAGAAAGAAACTAACTACCTATATTAAATTGTCTTTAAGTGATTTTTGAAGTCCTATTAACTGTAATTAGATGAACAATAATACTTTTAAAGATATTTTTTTTTCATAAAACATGCATATATTTTACCATTTTTGTAGGAGGGGGAGGGGCAATTCATCTCGAAAGCCCCCGTAGATCCGCCCGTGCAATCAACCAAAAACATTCTTAGCAAAATGTCCCGGTATTTCAATAGATACTCAAAATTATCTTTAAAAAAATAAACTGATCTTATATAAAGCAGATATCCGTCCTATAATCACATATTCTTCCTATACTTGCAAGTGTGACTACAGAAAACTCGAAGTGATTCAAAACATATGCATGAGAATCATAAACAATCAACCACCATACACAAAAATAGTCACTATGTTAACATAATTACAACTACCAACAATAAAACAATACAATTATTTTAAAACACAAAGATTCTTTGGGATTACAACAATATCTGATAATCCCATGATCCAAACAAGAAATCACTGAAACGGTACACACAAATGGACAAAGCACATACTCCTATCATTACAAAACCCCAACTTCATAACATTAAAAATACACCAATTATTGTATAATAATTTATAAGATATAAAATGTGTGCTTAATTTTACCTTTTCTATACATTTTAAAGACATTATATAGTTTTTTTATGTTATTTATTCATTTTTATAATTTATGCAGATTATGCAGAGTAATTAACAATAGTTAATGATCCATACTACGTCATAAACATAATCTAACATCATAAGCTCAACTTCAAAAAAATTCCAGTAATATGTATTGAGAAAAAGAACTATTTTCATTCCGTCTATCGTCAGTCAATTTTAACATTTTTTCGTTCCTTTTTCGGATTACCAGGGGATTTCGATTATCGATAATCCTGTAAATATATTGTTCCTTTCATAAGACAAATACAGTAACTATTTTATTTTAAAATTCATATCATAATTTTTTGTTTATAATACAATATCTAATCTAAACACTTACTATTTCATATATAAAAACGCTGCAAATTATTATAATTTCCAAAGAATTAGTGATCAAAAGCAGCATAACTTTCCTTGTAACATAAAAGGAAATAAACAAAGATGATTGGCGTAAATCATTTTTTTTTTCATCATTAGCCATTTGCTGAGAAAAATAAAAAAAATTGCTTCAGTTGATGTTACACATTCAAAAATTAAAAACCAAAACAAAAGATATAATCTTTGCAGTAGAACATATGAAAAATATTTAAAACAACATATCTAAGCACCTCTTAAATAACTACAATATCATTGACAAAAAGTTTACACTTTTTGAGTTATTCGGAAATCATATTTTACCACCCTACGTAACTTTCTTTCCAGCTACTCTTCGTTGAAGTACGCTACATAGACAAATTTTAACGGTTTCGAAAGAGAAGGCTTTAGCCAAGTTTTATTGAAATCGGTACATCCGTTCAGGGGCTAATGTCTATAAGACAAAAGTTTTTCGGCCGCCATCTTGAAAGGTAAGTACTTTTCGGTGAAGTATGTTCAATACACATATTTAAACGGCATCGAGAAGAAGACTTTGACCAAGTTTCATTGAAATCAGTACATTCGATCAGGCTCTGCAATTCATACCAACATAGGTTTTTCAGCCACCATCTTGAGAGGAAAGGGCGGATAGTGGCGGCTATCGAGGTACTAGGATCATCTTCGGATGACCTCTGACTTTGATTCAAAATTCGAAAAAAAGTTGTCCAGTAGCCTTGGAGAAAATGCGCGGAAGGCGTACGGCGCACAGTGGTCAAAAATTAAACCAGTCGTCATTTTGTTCTTCCATGCAAAATGTTTATATTTCTTTCATATGAACTTTGACACTAGAGTTTGTAAAGAGGATTAAAGTACCTAATAAGGCAAAAAAAGGAAAACATTTTTTTAAAGTATTTTCCAAAATAATGAAAATCTCAATTTTTTTTATGCATTCCCATACAAAATTTAATCCTAAGAAGAAAATATCATATTACTTTTTTGTGAAAACCCCTTCTGAAGAGAGCTATGATGGTAAATAACTAAAAAAAATCAAAACGTGAAAATTTAGACTGCTATATTTAGTATGTTTTTTTTTTTAGTGAAAGATAAATATGGTTCAAAAGATAAAAGTAAGTATAAGTGGTTTTCCTTAATTTCTCTGCCAATTTGCTTGATAAAACTGAAGAAGGTGAGAATTTTGAATTGAATACATAAACTGCCTCATCTTCTTTCGGTTTATCTAGCCTTTTGGGGATACTCCTGAAATTTAACGCGCCGAAATTCTACTAAAAATTGTATACATAAATATTAAGGAATGCATACGAATTAAATAAATCAATCAAATGTATACATTATTGGCGCTTTTAGGCTGATGATTCAAAAGTTATGTTGAGCAATAAATGGAAAACTTTGAATGTCGCTAACTCAGCCGGATGCAACTAGAACCTAACCAAATTAGATGGGTTTTGTTTGATGTTTCATGCGGAGGAAAATGACATAACTCACATTCTATAACCCGTCCCCTATTAAAATATATTGTGATTTTAAAATCGTAAATTTTCACGTTTATTTTTTTAGTTATTTACCATCATAGATCTCTTCACAAAGGGTTTTTGCAAAAAGGTGATAGAATATTTCCTTCTCAGAATTATATTTTCTATGAGATGGCATAAACAAAAAATTGAAATTATTCATTAGTTTAGTTTTTTGCTCTATTAGATACTTCAATCCTCTTTACAAATTCTAATGTCAAAGGTCATATTAAGGAATTATAAAAATTTTTCCTGGAAGAACAAAATGCCGATTTGGTTAAGTTTTGATCACAGTGCGGCTTACGGCGGACGGACAATGTTCTTCGTATCCTGAAACGTAAAACTTCAAATTTTGAGGGTAAGGGTTTAAGTTTTTGATTTTTTTTTTTTTATGATTACAATGGTTCATCATTGAAAATAATAAATCAAAAAAGTCAGTGTAATATTTATTTTTAAAAATATATTTGTTTTATTTATTTTTATTGAACATGAATGTTAACTCTACTTTAATGAACATTTTCAAGAAGATCTGAATTCTCATACAAGATAAAAATATTACAACACTTTTTTGGCCCTAATATGCTTCACAACGATGCTGCATGCTTTAAGAAAATTATTCCGATTAACCGGACCTCTGTCAGTTATCAAAGGCGATAATATTTACGCGATAACTTAATGATGTATTTGTATTATATTCATGAGTCGATTTAAGAAAATCGTGAAAGAATAAAAAAAAAAAAATTTTACCATTTTTGAAGCCAATTAAAGATGAGCCAACATTCTTTGCTGAACCATATCTCGACAGGTGAAACGCTACCTCAATGTTTTAACGGTTGCGCTAAACATGGGAGAACAGATAGTGGACACCGCTCCGATATACTTCGGGCTTGAAAAACTCAAACTTCAGCGTTATCTATTTCCTATTTTTTAAAAATTCATGAATATAGTAAGACCACCTTGCTTTAAGGAAACATTTAAATATTCGATTTTTAATAGTCATTACACTGAAGTCTTGTTAGTTGATAAATAACTTTCAGTATATTTTTTTATTTTTTTTTTAATTTAGGAAGAATTTTACATTTGAAAAATATAATGTAGTTTTGAAAATAATAATAATAATCTGCATATTTCAATAATTCAAATATGTTAATTTGCCTCTACTGCCCATAAAACTAAAAAATCTAAATTGTATGAATTTTAATTCTATTGAACATTTTAATTCTATTTTATTTATTTATGAAAATTTTAATTCCATTTTATTTATTTATTTTAATTTTATTATTACTATTATTTATATTTTCTTCCTTCATTATGATAATTTATTTTTTCCTTATTTCGCTGTATATTATTTTAAATTACCTTATTTATTTTTTGAATTTGTAAATATGGCGTAAATGTGCTCTCTGAACTCTATTATAAATGCCCTTTATTGAGACAGTTTGTAATATTTATCTATAAACAAGTAATCCATTGAAGAAAAAAAAAATGTTCTGTACAGGTGCAAAACGTAGGCTATCAAATTAAAGAAAGGACAAAGCAAATTGGTTTTTAAAAATAAAATATTTATGCTCCGAAAAAAATGTGCCCGTTGAAGAATTTAGAAAGTTACGCAATGTAGAATTATGGAAGATGCACTTAATTGAATTAATTAATTTAATTTAAGTACTGAAATTGTGGCGGTTAAAATACGCAAACAGTATCTGAGGCCGAGACGTAGGAAGGAGGATTAATCTGGGCTTCGCCTGACCTTGTAGATTTGTGTTTTGACGGCATTCAGGGGAGAGATTTATGCTCGTAAAGATTATCCCTTGTTTTGACATCGTACCGTCGGGTTTGCTAAGCCTTTATATTATTAATATAATGCAGCTACAATTCTTAATGTTTTAATATAATTTTACTATATTAAACATGCTAATCATGCACGAAAGGGTCCAAACTTAAAAGTGAAAAAATTGTAATCGTAAAAACATTTTGAACCCTTTAGAAGTAATTTCAATTTTTTTTCGCGTACTAAGTATTTAATTAATATATAGTAAAATACATAATAAAACTCTAAATTTGTGTTTATGATGTTTATTTACTAGTAGATTTGTCTAACTCTATTTATTTCCACTGCTGCCTATGGCTGGTGGTTTTAAGATATATTTACGCATATATATGCAATCACTGAATTGAGATCTATTTACGGACAATACAGCCCTTGAAATTGCCATGGTAACATTGAAAACAAAAATCATTATTCTTGCACATGTTGTTTCTGTCTGGGGGGAATGCGCATGTGCCAGAATTTAAATGGAATCGATAGAAGTGGGCTGAGGAGGGACCCCTATATATATCCGGACCTGACCTCCCCCTATGGGAGATCTCACCGACATCTTCTCCGTGCAACAAACCTCGCCTCTCCCAACATTTGCCAATGCCATTATCTTCAGTCCTTCCAACATTCTCCAACATGATAAAGGGTTTCAATTAAGTAAAATCCACTAGATTCAGGCATCTGATAGACCATACAGATGGTATGTACAGTTTTTATTGTTAAACAATATTGTTAAGAACCTTGATCATTTGTTTGTTTATTTATGTAATCAGTGGAAACATAAAGTGTTCTTTTAAATATATGTTTTCTAGGCCTTTAAATAAATATTATCCTTTCTTCAGTTAATAATTTTCAAAAGAAATACTTTAATTCCTGATATTATATTCTTTTTGAACCACAACCACTAAAAATGAAAAATATATATAATTTTTCTCATATATTATTCTTCTTCTAATCAATACCTTAAAAATAGATATTACTTACCGATACTCTAGAACATTTCTTATTAAAAAAAAATTGATTTCTTTGACGTTACCTTTAATAAATTTCTGTGTATTTGGATTTTATCTAACTGTTGTAGTTCCTATTCCTCTTATTACCGTTCTTCGACATTATATTTTCTCCTCTTTAGCATAGTTTGTCATTTATTTTAAATCATATGATATTAAAAACTATATGTCTTTCAGGTTGTGTACTTGCAGAATTGGTCAAAGGTGAAGCTCTCTGGCCTGGAAAATCTGATGTTGACCAGCTCTATTTAATACGCAAAACCTTAGGTATGTTATTAATTTTTTATAATCAAAATTGTGTTGTTTTATATATTTAAGTAGTATTTTTAAATTATAAATATAAACGTATAATTAAAATGAATAAGTGAAAAGAAGTTTAATAAATATACAATATTACAATGGTAAGTTATGATAATTTAATTTATTTAGGATAAGTCGAAGCAAGGCAGCAGATGATATTTGTATACATGTATATATACTTAACTTTATAAATAATTTTTTTTAATGTATAATATTTAATCGATGTTTAAAGAGAGACAATGGTTGTCAACTGTATTGTAGGAGATCAATGTATCACATGATTATAATCTTCCGTCACTATGGCGGGAAAGGTGTTACATACGAGTATCTTTGTTCATTCAATAAACAAATTCAATTTTTTTTTTCCAAAATTTCACACCTCATTCACGTATACTAGGAGATACCTACGATTATTTATTTCTCACCTGTCCTCACAAACTGGAAATGTCGAGGAACTTCCATCAATTCATCATGGCTGGTAAAGTCCTGCTTTCGTCTTTTGGCCTGAAAAATTATTCTAAACTATACAGATAATAAAAAAAAGAGAAATCATGATTTTTTTTCCACCCATTCACTAAGGTAATATTAATAAATTCATTTCGGTTTCCATAATAGCTTATATTTCCAAACTTTAATTGGTACGTATTTTAAATTATATGATAGAAATTAATAAAATTATTCGAAGGGTGTATAGAATTCTTTGGTACATTCTTCTTTAATGAAGATCACTTCATTTTTGTACTATCCAACTCAAATGAGTTGATAGTAGTTTTCTACTGTGAATGATGATTTTTTTTTTTTTTTTTTAATAAATTGAAATATGAAATTTAAATATTTTTCTATATTAAGTTTTAAATTTATTTTTGAAATTTCTAATTTTAAACATAAAATAATCGGCATGATCAATTAATCTTACGAATCAGTGCCACAACGTCTCGAATAATTTTGATTGTGACATCATTATTGTGTTTACTGTATTATTGTGCATACTAGCACAGAACAGTAGAGAGGTTGAGGCCTTTATTATAGGACTTAAAACACTCGTTAAGCCCCTAAATCACATCTCCTAGCTTTCAGGTAATGATTCAGCTATAAGCGAACTGAATAGCCGCAAAGATCACGGATAGGTAAGTTCCCTTAGTGGCCTCGATGTCATAACTTAGCGATTTTGGAAATGACAGAAAAGATTCAAAAAGCCCACCAGAAAATAATCAGACAAATCTGAAACAAAATATTGGCCATTAATTGGAATTTTAATATAATTATTTTTATTTTTATTTAGTGTGGCATTCACCAATCAGATCCCTACTTGCCGCGTTTCGCTTAATGGGTTGTGTTCTGTGGCAGGCGTTAGAATTATACCATCCCGCACAAGCAGAGACTAAAGTCTGATTCAATTTTTTTCCTTTTTTAAAAAACTTTTGCTTATAATTCTGCACCTATAAATAACTATCAACAGATGTGCTGGCATAATAATTTAATAAGAAACAAAATATTGATAGGCATGACGAAAAGTAGTTACCAATGACCCCTCTTCCGTGGCTTTAAATTGCTTAAGTAGATCTCTCATCCAGATTCTTTTCCGTGCTCTGATATTCTCAGGCATGACAGTAGCGACTATTTTATGAATTGGTTGGAGTGACCCTTCAATTTATCGTGAAGTATTTTGTACAATGTCGGTAAGAGTTCATTGAACGTCGGGATGTTTAAATCAGTATTATTATAATTCCTTTATTATTTAATAAAAATTATAATAATTATTACGGTCCATATAAGCCCTTACGGTCCTTATAAGTAAAGCTCACAGCGTTACAATGTTTCTTCTTCCAACGTTCTTTTGTTTTTTACAAACATAAGAGATATGTTTATAGCACTTTTTTTTTCATCAAACTGGGTTCTCAGTATTTTAAAACTACGAGTTTTACTCCTGGAAGCAATTTAACACATATTCGTCCGGTAATTTTTGGCACCACCATTCACAAAATGCCTTTTGCTGGAATAAAAGCATTTTATGAATGGCGGTGCAAAAAATTACTGGACGAATATGTGTTAAATATCTTCAAGATGTAAAACTCCATACTTTTTCGATTTCTTCATCGTTAAAGGACTGAGAATAGTGTTGCCCAAATCCGAGACCAAGACGTTTTTCGGCCTTGCGCTCTCAGTTTTGGACTTGGACATGAGTACCTATATATAGTATAATTTTGTCCTTAAGTACGATGGAGAAAATTAGAAAAAAAAAAAAAGAAAAATGTCAAAACCTACCCCACCCCAAGGACGGTTGTGACAGTGCTTGGGATAGGTAGTGACTGGTTAAAAAAAAAAAAAAGTCTAAAATCACTTTTATTGTAATGAAGAGAAGAATAGTTGGGGTGGTCAGTCAAAAAAGACTGACTTTTATTGTATTATATAATATTATAGAATGATTTTCTATTTATCTAAAGGCAGAAAAAAGAAATTACTTGGGTCACTTAACCCAGAAAATATTTCACCCCACTAGTGTTGCCCAAATGCGAGACCCAAGACGAGTCTTGGTCTTGCGCACTCAGTCTTGGTCGTGGTCTTGGTCTTGCGCAATAGCCTCGCAACAGTCTTGTAGTTACCTATTAGCCTATTACTACAGAGATATTATTGCAATTTTTCAAATAGAGGATACCTAACTATGCCCGAATGAAAAATGGGAAGAATTAAATGCAAAAGTATATTGGTTATACCAATTCTTCACATATCGGAACTTAAAGTGTTTATTCACAAAAAAAAAAATTTAATTTATTTATAATTAGAAGAACAATAATCAATTATTTTCTGTAATTCAATATAATAAATAGTGTTGTCCAAATGCGAAACCGAGACTAGTCTTGTTCTTGCAAACACAGTCTTGGTATTGCGCAAGAGTCTAGCAACAGTCTTGCAGCTAATTATTAGCTTATTACTATAGAGATATTACTGTAATTTTTTATATAGGAGAAACCTAACTTAGCCGGAATGAAATATTAGAGGAGTTAAATGCAAAAGTATATTTGTTATACCAATTATTTACATATAGTAACTAAGATTGTTAAGTATAACTATTTTGCTTTAATTTTTATTTAAAAAATAGATTTTTTTACTAGTCCTGGTCTTGGTCCTGCAACAGTTAGGCGGCCTTGGTCTTGGCAAAGTGCAAGACCAAGACCGATTTTGGACAAAACTAATAATAAATAATTAATATAAATTGAAGTTACGAAGAAAATTGGGTAAAAGTAAACTTATTCAGTTGTTAAATTGAAAAGATATTGTTTTTTCGTATTCTTTTAACCAATAACAATTTAACGAGAAGAGGACATGTCTATGTTTTCAAAAACCAATATAGCCTTCAATAAGAAAAAGCAATTATGAAAAATGATAACATTTCTCCGATTTTATTGCTCAGGAAATAGATAAGAACTTTCGAACTATCAGAACTTCAGTTTTATAACTTGGATTTTGATTCATTATATCTATAAGCACTTTAAAGGTATTTGATACCAGCTAGGCCTTATCCTCATTGAGAAAGTTTAACAGGCCTTAAATCCTGAATTTTCAAAAATACATCTTCAAGAGTATCTACAAAAATGTTTAATTGAAATAATTAACCGTCTCTAATTGCAGTTAGCGATTAACTAAAATGACGAATATGAGGTATGAAAGAACTTTATAATTTATTAAAGAAAAACAAAATATAGATTTTAGCAACTAAACGGAAACTTTGGAAATTTATATTCAGCTAGAAACAACAAAAATATATATAAAATATACTGTGCACATTGTGTGCATTGCCTTCTTATTCTTTCTCTTCCTCCATTTTATCATTTCTAGCGTGGAGGGCTTTCTTCGATCCAAGACTGCTAGGCCTAAAAAAATGCCTATAGATAGATACATTACACAATAGCAGAAAAAGTAGACAGCCGATAAAAAAAAAAGTTGAATAAATTGGTTTCACCCAAACCTATTCGATTCACAACAGTAAAAAGTAATTAATAAAAAATAAATAATAATTTGGCATGATTATTATTTATTAAAAAATGTACAAATAATCAAAACAAATAATATTATCTGATCATTAGTGAAGTTTGGCGTATTTTAAACAATCTGGCACAGAGTGTTTAAAATACTAATAAATGTTTAAAAGTGTATTTTCTTTTAACTTTCCTACCTATACTAGGCAAGGAAAGTTTTGCGATCGGGTCAAATTTTCGATATGCGGTTTTCGACGTATCTATACCTTTCCGAGCACCCTGAGTCAGAAAAACTCATTTTTAGCCATTGGTAAGTCTGTCTGTTACGAGATTTTCTAGTGAACCGATTTTGTTGCTTCTTTTTTTTTTATTTTGTAGGGTTTTGACTACTGATGCCTGTGACACAAATTGGGTGCGCCACGCGCAATAGTGGCTGCGCAATAAATGAAAAACATGTTTTTCTATAGACTTTAGCGCAAAAACGGCTCTAAGGATTTTGATGAAACTTTTTAATAATTTCAATTTTCGTACATGTACTAAAGTCCCGAGAAAATTCAGGAAAAAAAGTTATAAAGAAAAGAAAAATGTTTTGGGGCATAACTTGCTAAGCATATATCCTATAGTAAAATTTATAATAACACTGTTGAAAGGTAATTCAATTACCAACAAAACAAAAACAAAAAAAATCATTGGAATCGAAACAGTATTAGGGATGATATAGCGTATTATATTCTCTACATATGTTTTAATTTATTACTTTCCTACCTATTCTAGGCAAGGAAAGTATTGCGGCATGCGGTTTTCGGACCTATACGCCCCGGAAACATTTTAGCCTATTTTTTTTAAAGGTAATGAAATTCCCTACAAAACTATATAAAAATCGTTCATTTCGGACAACTATTGACGAGGTTACAGTAATTCAATTTCGTATGTAAGATTACGGGTTCATATCCTGGTGTCAGAAAGGGGTGAATTAAAGAGAAAAAAAAAAAACTAAATGAAAGTAAGAATGTTGCCCGCATCACACAAGCTTTACTGTTTCCTCTACTTTTAACACAAATTATTGTGTGACAAAATTAGGCTATGACAGAAAGTTTTTGATTAGCAATGTTAGAGGGTATTGCATTTTTTTATACTGATCTACCACAAGACGGTTTTCATTGCTTTAGTTTATCAAAGAAATCGTACTCAAATCTTTTCTTCGATCAATTTTCAGGAAAATTAATCTAATTCAATCCTTTTTTGTTTCTTAATGGATATATTTAAATATATTAAAACTTTTACGAAATAGGTAGGAAAGCCGTGTTCTCTCTCGTTGGCCGCCATATTGGATTCTATCTCCATCAATGGAAACGCCGCGATCCTTGTTTCTTAATGATTTATTCTATAGGAAAATGCATTCAATTGATTTTAATTAATATAAAAATTAGTACAAATCATTAAGGAAAATGATGCTTCGTAATAATTTATAGTAGTAATTTTTACTTATAACGCCGGTATATCGGCATGGTAGAATATAAAATCACATAATTTTGTTACACAACTAGAGGTGATTTCAATTTATTCTGTGCTGAGCATCAACTTAATTAATAAGAACTAACAACTTATTAAACAAGGAAGTTTTTTTTATATGATTTATTTTTCATATTTTCCAACTACAGGTTAACAATTGCTGTGGATATGTACCCTTGAAGAATGCATTTTTATAAATATACAATATGTAAAATTAAAACATATTACATTTATTGGTTGTTGTTGTCGTATGGTAAAGGCGTAATACCTGTTGGTCATCAACGCCGTTAATTAAAATTATATATTATTATATCTTCTGGTTGTGAATATTAGGAATTAGATAAAACTTAATTTAATTTAATATTAGGGTTTAGATATAATTAACAAGAAGTAAAATGCACGTTAAGGTTAAAGTTGTTTACGGTTATTAAAGCTTAGTTATTTGAAGTTATCACGTTAAGAAAAAGAAAAGAAAGAAAGAAAGAAAAGAAAACAAAAAGAGGTGGGGAGTGCTGCGTGTGAAGTTCAGAGATTTTTAAAGATTCTTTCTTCAGAGAGAAAAGATATCATTTGCTCAAGATTTTTTCATCATTTCCCAAAGCAGCCGATGTATTTGTTGGTATTCCTCTTTTATTTACTTCTCTGATCTAAAAGGCACAACCCTCAAAGATATGGACTACTGTCATTCTCTCTCCACACTTATGACAAACGGGTGGGTTTTCTTTTTTAATTAAGTGAAGGTGCGTAAACCTTGTATGACCTATTCGTAGTCGCGTAAGGACAACTTCCTCTCTGCGTTTACTGCGGCTAGAACTGCTCCGTGGCTTCACTTCCTTTATAATCACCGTTTAATTTTAAAACACTATTTGGAAAAAAAACGAATACTATTTAAATTAAATTAATAATATTTATATCCCGGTCTTCATGGGATTTTTAGCTTTTTACTAATCGATTCATATCTAACACGCCCTCTTCTAGCTTTTGTTGTAACCCTGCTTATACTTGTTACAAACAGTGTTGCCGTCTGTACGAGGATCCTCGTATTTGTACGAGGTTATGACGTAATGTACGAGGTACGAGGATAGATCAGCCTCGTACCTCGTGCATAAGTTTTGCTGACGTTTGCAATACAAGGTTATATTTTTATGAATGAAGTTTAGAATTGTTTTAAGGTTATTTTGACTGTATTATTATTTATATTGATGTAGAGATGGTTGACCGTTGATATGATATGAGAAGGAATTAGTCGAGGGTGCGGTCAAAAAAAATAAAAAAAATTAAAATATATAAATATTAAAATTATTTATATATTTTAATTTTTTTTATTTTTTTTGACCGCACCCTCGACTAATTCCTTCTCATATTATTTATATTGATATGAAATACTGAACTTCTTTTCCTTTCTAGACATATCAATTGCAATTATATCTTCTTTAATTAGAGTATGATTATTATTTCCTTCATAAAACCATGATTGTATATATATGTTTTTTTTTTTTAATTTTCTTGAAAATAAAATTTAAAAAAAAAATATTTTAGATTTTATTTAGTATAAAATAAAATATAAGAAACCATATCCATTATTTCCTTCATAAAACTTTTTTATAAATATATATTTTTTAAAATGTGTTGTAATAGCAAATTAAACAGAAATTTTTACCGTAATTTTTATCGAGCATAAAATAAAATACGAGAAAGTATATCCATTATTTCCTTCGTAATTATTATTTCCTTCATAAAACTGCAATTGTAAATATATTCTAGATAAATTAAATTTTAAAAAAATTATTAGCGTAATTTAAAAAAAAAATTCGATTTTTAATGGAGTAAAGTAATTAATTGAAAAATTAATTAGTATTCATAATGAACCTATCTTAAATAATGAAAAAAAAAAATATTTTTTCAGTGGTCCACATTTATTTTGTGCGAGATCTAATTGTAAGCTAAATACTGAAACAATCACAATCTATTATTTTTTTATATTATAATGGATATGTCTTAAAGCATCAATGCCCAATATTTAATTTTTATTGTCCTTCTAGAACCACTAACACCCTTTCATAAAATTAGTTGTTTCGTTTTTAGAAAAAAGAAAAAAATTAGTCTTTCCCCCAAATTAAATCTTGGATCTACTAATGAATACTTATAAAGAGTACTTTAAGAAGTTTATTTAGCTATTTTAATTTTTATATAACGTTTTCAGTAGTTTATAAAAATATATAAACTTTTTTATATATTTTATTAAGCTAATTTTACTGCTTGACCAATTAACTTTAAAAAAAAGTAATGTAAAAAGGCTTTAAAATATATGAATGGAGGTAAAAATAAAAAATTCTGATCTAATTTTACTTTAAAAAAAAACAATAACACTGGTACTATAACAGTGCAAGTTATGAATGAAGAAGCGTACGAGGATGTACGAGGCTTCAGTACGAGGTTTTGTCACAGAGCGCGCGGTAACACTGGTTACAAATTTTATGGATCTCATTCATGCAAACAATACATAAAAGAGGGCTCAGACTACACCCCTGCTTGACGCCTCTATCAATGAGGAAACGAAAAATCTCTACCACTGATCCTCACGGCTTTTTAATTTTAATATACGGACTGTATATTGTGTAGCTGTGAAAGAGTATTCCTGACGTTGGACCTAATCGAAGGCAACCTTAACCTCTAAAAATACTTGATAGGTAGATCCCTGTCTCTATCCCATACTTTCTATTTTTTTTTTTTAATCTTTTTCTTAGGACAAAGATATAATAATACATGTCGATGGGTTACATCTATAATTAAAGTAATATTCTTGAAATTTATTCATTTTAAATTAAAATAATAGTGATAGTTGTGTAGACAGTAACAGGCCAGATTTTTTTTTTTATTGTAATGTAATTTCATTTTTAATGCCATTGTTTTATACATATTTTATTTCCAGGTGATTTGATTCCTAGGCATATGCATATATTCAGAACAAACGACTTTTTCACTGGAATCACTTTACCACAGCCAGATGTTATAGAGCCTTTAGAATCTAAATTACCTAAGCAAGTCCAAAATGATGCAAACCTCATCGATTTCTTAAAGGTTAGAAAATAAACATTTTTACACATTATGTTACACTATAATATGTGTATTTTTGTGTGTGTGTGTAATAGATCAAGGCCAATACTAGGATTTTTTACAGGAGTGTCATGCCAAATTTTGCCACCTCTCCTTTATCTCATTTCAATCCATTAGTTTCTATACTCTTTCAATGCAATACTCCTCTATGCATTACTTTCAATAAAGTCAACAGTTGATAACGGTATTTTAGGTAATATATTTCGAAATAAATATAATCTCGTTACATTTTTACATTTTATTGATTGGATTAATGTCAAAACAATAAAAAAGAAGAAACAAATATTATTTACTCAATCTAAAAGTAAAGTTTCTCTTGAAATTAAGCACTCCCTAAATTCAGCCGGGAGGACCAAGGATCCTTCTGTCTCTTTAGTTTTGGCCCTGATATATATTTATATATATACACTTATAAATTTTAATACTCATAACAGAATATATGTTTTAGAAATGCTTGGATAAAGAACCTTCTAAAAGGTGGAACGCTGAAGAACTTCTAAGGCACCGATATTTTGATCATTATCATTTCAAAATCCCAGAGCCAGAAATGGAAGAATTTGAAAAATTAAAAAAGCAGAGAGATCAGAAATCAAGAGTAAGTATATTTGTGTCCCCAAAATTTATTATATTATTATTAGTGTTTAATTTAAAAAAAAAAAAAATGTAAATTGGCATAGAATGACTGACCCCCAGAGGGGTTGAGGTAACAGGGATAAAAAAATAATTAATTTCAATTAGCTCTGATGTTTTGCTTCCTCTAAATAACAATGAAATCAGGAAGATAACAAAAAATAGAATAGCAAAATAAGTAGACTACACATAAGGAAATTGAATAAAAGTAAAATAAGTTCTGATTCTGTTGAAATGTTCAAGGATTGTGATGGTTAGTACCTAGATATAAACAATCATATAAATAATAATCAATAAATAACCCCAATACGTAAATGGTTAAATTAATGTTTTTTTGGAAATTTATATTTATGTACTTTAACTTTACATTCTTCAAAATAAATCATATGTGTTCTTTAAAATTTATTATATTTTAATTATTTCATTTAAATTTAAAACAACATACATTGATTCATAATTATATAGTTGAAAAGTAAATTAAAAATGAATTAATTTCATTTATACTCAAATTATAAATATCTTTTTGCCTTGAGCCTAGCTTTTAAGTGGAGTCGTTTATAGTATACCATATTCATATTTTATTGTCTTGTATTTTTTTTTTTTTAATTTTAGAACTCAAGCTCAAACATGATAAACATGGGCGGTGCACTTCTCCCACAACTGGGACCAAGTCCAGAAATGGCACGGAATCAAAATACAACACAAAGGAATCATACTTTTCATCATTTACCAGACATTTGACCTAATAAGTTTAATGGATTTATCAGTAGCATAAATCAAAATTAAGGCAACATTGGCTTGCATGGGTCGGACGAGGTAACAACAATGATTTATTTACATATTTTTAAGACATAACTAATTGGAAAACAAGTAAATATATATTTGATTACATAGTCACTAAGATAATAATGATAGAAACTAACAAAAGACATAATATAAGCGTATTTATAATAATTATTCTGGGTAAAAATTTAAAGAAAGTGATAATTAATTATATATTTTTTAATTTATTACAAAGTTAAGCTACTAAGAGTTAAACCTACAGAATAAGTTAATTTTAAAATGCCACCATTATATCATTTTTAATAGGATAGCAGAAGAAGCTAGTGAATCATTATGTTATACATATATTCAGATCAGTGATTTGGTATGTAAATTTCTATTTTATATTTCTTCATTTTTTTTTTCATTAAATGTTCAATATTTTTACATTCAATTTGAAAATAAATTAGTTATTATTTTGGTAGAGTTATAATCTTCAGTAAAGTTGAAAATCTTATAATATTAATGTCACAAGAACTATAATCATTATTATAATTAAAAAATATCTGCTCCAGGTAATTAATCAGTGCCTAAATGTTGGTAAGATGGACTATGAATCAAAAAATGGGTATTTAAAAAAAATTGATTATATTTAAACAAATTCCTCTGAATTATGTGAAAGTTTATATTTGCAAAATGATTTGGTTATAAAATATTTTTTTTTTCATTATTTTAATTATATGATCGAAACCGAAAATCAACTCATGTTTAAATGAATGAATGAATACTTCATTATTAAGATTTTAAATTGCTAAAATCAGCATACATTCAAGAATTAATGTGTACTTAGATATCTTTAAAATCATTTACAAATTTAATGGAAACCAAAATATTCTTCACCTTCAGAATTTTTATTCCTTTAATTCCAAATGGATATTTGGATTTAAATGAATGCATGGAATAAAAATTCTGTATACTTTTACATTCATTTTCCCAATTCATAATCTTGGTAACAGTAATTATCAATTATTTACTCAGAGTAAATCTACTTTTATTAACTTGGCATACATTAATTTAGTCATACTAAGAATGAAGAGAAAATAAAATTTAAATTTTGAATGTCTGCATGGATTAATATAATATTTCAATTCTATAATTAGTCATGCCATCCCTATTATTAGTCTTGGTGCTGTTAAAGCTCCTCAAAGATTTTTGAAACATTTATAATTGATTTCTTATAATTATAAATATGATTTAAATTTAATTCTATATTATTAATCATATAAAATTGTAGTGATTGTTAACTGCCAGACTTGTTTAATTATATTTTTATCATCATCATTATTTATTTATTTTTTTGCTAAGAAGAAAGATTTACTTCAGGACACTGCAATTCTTGCAATGAGTTGATTCATTCACTTGTTATCTCATTGAGAGCAATTTTACAATAGCAAATTTTTAAAATTATTGAGTTGATTTTTTGACAATTTTCTGTTATTTTCATTTGATCATGTACCCTTTTAATAAAATTGGCAAGATTTTAATTTTTATCTTGATATACATATGCATATATGGATGGATTCAAATATATACACATACACGATCATATGAAAATAAATAAAAAATTGTTTTTCTTGAACCATATATATATATATATATATATATATATATATATATATATATATATATATATATATATAATATTTGTCTCTTCTTCACTATCACTTCCCATAATATTGTCTAATTATTTAAAGTTTCTTGTATCACAAAATTTCAAACATGTAATTTATCCAAAAGTAATAAATATTTTGCTGAAGCTTATTAAATTTTCAGCACTATTTTTTTTGTTAGCATTATTTCTTACATTGCATAGTATATATTTAAGTGTCAGTGCACAAGTCTATTCAACATTCAGGCACTGAGATATACCAACTATATATGTAATCATGTGTATACTTAAATATGTTCTACTGCTGTTACCCCATTACATACTATTATTCATTATCAATTATAAAGGACTTTTTGAAAATTTAAATTTATTCAAGTTTATTATTTTTTTTTTTTTGTAGTTATAGCTGTTTTCTGAAATATATGTGAAACTAAAAAAAAAAGAAAAAAAAAGAAAAGTAATAATATTAATAAAAAAAAAGATTGCCATCAATGCTCCAAAGCACTCACATTTAATTATAAAATAATTATATTTTACCATTGTCTGAGTGCATCTCAATCAATGTTTCAGATTTATGTTTCTACACAATGAATTAATTAATTATTTACATTATTTAATCTAAATAATGTACTAATTATTGGAATCTGGGTTGAGGTAGATAGTGACTAATGTTTGTTTTTTATTATCAGAAATATGTTCGAAACATACTTCATGGTTCATATGCTCGAAACAGGAAGGAACTAAGCAGCTTATGGAATAGTACCTCACTGGTAACTTCCAAAAGCTAATGCAGTAAAAACAGCATTCTTATTTTCGAGTACATTAGAAGCATAAACTTTTTTTTAACACTTTCTTTTATTTAAGGTTTTTACTTTGTTAATTATTACATTAATTGTGCTATACCTTAGAATATATCTGGATATATCACCATTACTAGTGGTTGTTTGAGGAAATTGAAGTCTTTCTTATGACCACTGTAAAATGTACCTTCCTAGACGAAGAGGTTCCAAAGAAACAACTGGATCTACAGTAAATATTTCTTCTGATTAGAAGAGTCTACTATAAGAGAAGTGACTGAAGAGACCAAGATGGTGGTGTACATATAACCACCATCTTGGTCGCTTTCGTCAAGGTTCTTACTCATCTTCAACAGTTGAAATTTCCATATACTTAACTATATCTGAGACAGATGCCAATTTTGATGAAGTGTGAAAAATAACTTGAATAATGAAGGTGCAAAATAAAGGAGACAGATTCGTATTATCATATACTCATTATGGTTTTAATTTAAGAGGATTCAACTGTTCACTACTGTTGGAACAAGACCTTCTGTGTTTTTTTAAAATGAATGGACAGTAATAAACTAGAAATTATACAACACTAGAAGGTCTAATGAAGCAGTGAGACAAGTATAATACTGTAATGGCTATATCACAAGCAGATGATTGAATGTTCAAGTTTTGAAACATCTATCCTCGAAAGATCACGAGACCAAAAATTTTTTTCGAAGAGTCTGGTACTTTTCAGTCACTACATTTAAGAAAACTTCTGTTATTTATCTTCAGATCAGCCATGACCTGATGATACATTTGGTAAAGCAACTATAATACTATTTGCACTGGCTGCAAATTGATCTACTAAATTTAAGTAAGTTAAAATCAGCTTTATAAGCAATGACTCGATCTAAATGTAAAAATTAGCCATAATATTAGCTGTCTAACAATAAAGTTCCATGCCAGTAGTAAATATTACCCGTTTAAATCGAGAGTTGTAATTGTTTTTATATTGTAAATAGATAGTAATTGCGCAATAATATATTGTATTATGTGTCTTTAGACGTCATTCTATCATATTTCAAAATTAAATATATTCATTCAACATAGAATAGATCTAGTATTGATGTTTATTATCTAAAATTTTAAGTATTAATCGTGGATTTGTGTATCGTGTTAGATTCTTGAATAATACATTGTATATAATAAGATGACAAGAAATAGATCTCATCACTATAATTTGTAAAATAAAATGGCCCAACGTACTTAAAAGGAACTTTTAGAGAGCTCACAATATTGTGGCAGGCTCGCTTTCTTTGTTGTGATTTATAATAAATATATATATATATATATATATGTATATAGATTTAGGTAATATTTTCATTCAACTATAATGTTTATCTCTAATAACTACTCATAATAATCGAAGGTTATAACTATGATAATCGTTTTATGATGAGTAAAGACGGTTTGATTTATTAAATTAAGTTCAAAGAATATTTTTAAACGTTGCTATGATTTAGAAATTTAATTAAAATTTATTTATTTATTTTTTGGGAAGTGCAATAATAATTCTTAATAATTTGTTCCACGCAGTTCTTGGTTTGTTATTTTTCTTCTAAAACAAAACAAGAAAATGTAAATATATTTGTACATATTTTTGTTTTTGTTAAATTCTTTTGTTATATGAAATTAAAAGATAAGATGTTTATTAACATTAACGTGTTTATGTGTAACATTGGATACTTGTTTACCTTTTAGGTGTGTATAATAAATTTAAAAATAGTCGATGTTTGTAAAGAATTAGATCTACTATCGTAATCAATAAACTAAAATCGTATAATAGTTTTAGCAATGATCGAAAAAGATCACTGCTAATATGAAAGCTTGTTGTAACATAATACTTAGTAATGAATTATATAAATATGTAACAATATATATATAAATCAATTTGTATAGTTATCATAATATTACTAAAAATATAATATTATTAACATTTACTAATCATTAAACTCGAATTTCAAAACTGAGAATCTTTTTGTTCTAAGTATTGAAGATTCGGCTTGTCTTAATGTTCTTATAAATTTTTTCTGTATTAATTTACTTATTTTTTAAATTCGCAGTTCATAATTAAGCCTTTAATAAACCATTTCAACTCTTTTCTTGTTGTAAAATGTAATTGATGAAAATAATGATAAATAATTGAAATATAATTATAAAAATATAATTATATTTACAATATGCTTCAAATTTACCAATAAGCGTACATTTCTTCCGATCATTATTTTTTATACGTCCCCGTATTGTTTATTGATAATATCATATTGTTTGTTACACATTATTATCCAATTATTTGATATTTTTTTCAATTCAGTAAATATTCCGTATTTCAATTTTTTTTTTTTTTTTAAATATTTTACAAATTTTAATCTTACTTCACAGAGCTTTGTCATTGTTAATGAAACATTCTTCTTTAATGTGATCCATCACCTCTAATAACACAGTACTGATGTCGATATGGAAGGTTCATAGCCGATGACGTTGACAAAAATAAACTCTTTCGAAGTAGTCGTTGACAACGGGTGTATTGGACTAGGGCTATAAGAACTTGAAGCTTTCCGTCAACCTTATTACCCACCATCTCTGGTTGTTCCTCAACAATTATTTGAGATAGAAGGATGGATTCTAAAGCGCAATGCGCAGTTATATATTCTTGTCCTTTGAGTGAGCATAAAATGTTAGTGATTTTAAAATCTCTGTTTTTAAATTAAAGTTGAATGAATTTTAAAATAACCCCAAGTCAAAAAGAATTCCCTGTTTTTTTTTTATATTCGATTAACTCAATGGTTAATCTCTTAGAAAAATGTTTCATCTACGAGACATCCATCCATCGCCCACCGGTT